CTGCTGAACCTGACAAACTCTATCTTGTTGTAATAGTATGAGGTGATGAACTCGATGTCCCTTAGCTCAGTGGAGTTAAACAGGCAGCGAGTTGAAGAGTAACACTCATATCCATCTGAAACACAAAGATCAGAGAATCACTCTCCTGTAGTAGTCTGGGAAACCTTAAAAGCAGGTTGTTGAAATGATATCATCATCATATCTTCACCTTAGTTAGATCATTAAGCTTACCAACAGAGTATCAATTCAATTTCATATACATAAAAATGATTCACAAAAACACCAAGATCCTATAATATTAGAGAGGTAACCCCAGCAATCTTAAGATGTGCAAAGTTGGGAACAGTGGAAGAGAGAGAAACAACCAACAGAACCAGGATCAGGAAGAAGCACTGCCATGGCTGGTTATGGTAAAGAAGAACAAAAAAGGAGAACCAAGACAGATGAGACAAAACACAAACTACAGGAGATAGGAGACATAATTTAATGCACAAGTGAAAGAAATGGGAATCCCCCAGTAGCCTAAGTTCTATTGCAGTATAACTAAGGGAGGATTCAGGGTCACTAGGGTCCAGCCCTACTATATACTTTAGCAAAAAGGAAAGTGCTAAGAATATTCTCAATAGTGGGCCTGATTATTCAAATATGTATGTAAGGAGAAGCATTTTAAATTTGGAGAAACCAGTATGGGTTACATAAATATTAATGTGTGCATTGAAGGATATATCCTGGTTAAAAATGTCAAGAGTCCTCAAAGTGTTACTGGAGAAAAATCCTGTCCAGTATTTCGTTAGAAACCATGTTTCAGAAGTTTTTGTGAGGTCCAAATATGACGACCTCAGTTTGTCTGATTAAAGGACAACACATCCACGTGTTTATGTCTTTAATACATACCTGTGTGTTGCAGCAACATTTCAAAGCAATGTATTTTGGTTAGTTAGTAACGCGTGATGGTCTAATGTGTAAATGCAATGTTGCAGAAAAGTCTCTGTGTGACTGGATATTAAATAGTGTTTGTAGTGAGACCCTGCATAGGAATATGTAGAATAAGGACGCAGATCTTCTGCATATAAACTGACATTTACCTTCATTCATGTAGGATGTACAGTTAAAAATCAGATGTACAGTTAAAAAACAGAGAACTGTGTAGTCTCTCTGTTTGTCTAAGTACAGTTAAGAAGAAGAGATGTTAACCACTTCTCACTTTATTTCATGAGTCATTTGTTCTAGTGCCTTGTCTTTATTTTTACTTCCCCTCTCATTGTATAAACTACATGTACTCAGTGTTCCATATTAGGACCATTGCTTTTTTTTTTCTCTACAAAAATAACCTTTTTGAAAATTTATCAAATGCTATATTCCATCTTTATGCAGATAACACAATTATCTATTGTTTAGATACTTCATTAATAGAAACTCTTTAATTTCCTTAAGCTGCCTTTGATGTTCTTCACTCCCATTTTTCTCTCCGTACACCCTAAAAAATGTTGGGTTATTTTCATAACTCCACTTCTGGGTAAAAGCCGTAGGTTCATAAGTTGGGTTATTGTGACCAAATGTTGGTTCAAAAGTCATGACTGAGGAGTTGGGTTGGTGATGTGCTGGGTTCTTCAATTCCCTCCACAGCTTGACTAATTCTGTTGGGTCATAGGTTCGGTTTGATAAAATATTGGGTCAACATTTTACCCAATTGTTTGGGTTGAAAATAAGCCTCAGAGGTCTTCACAAACTGCCTGTGACTTGATCACATATCACTGGACTTCTCCACTACTATGAAATAAAATATGGTAAGTAAAAAGTGAATTATAACAGTTTGAAAATCAGAGGGTTATTTTTGATAATGCAATTTATTGGTTTATTTTAAAACTTTACCTACTCATTAAAGGTATTTTAACAGATAACACCAGCTAGCTTGGGATGAAGAAAGTTATTTCTACTTGAAAATGCTTGATAGTATCTTTTGAAGTTATTATTTGAAATGAGGCTGAGGAAATGAAGCTCCATATTTGACCCAGTGTGGGGTTACAGATTTGGTCATTTTTAACCCAGCATTTTTATGGTGTAAGTTGGAGTTAAATGCAGACAAATACAAGCTCATGTTGTTCTCAAAGTGCAAAGACTGTTAGCTATGTTTCATAAGATTAAAACCATTCAAGGGACTGAAATTAAAATGGTTACATCTAATAAGTATCTAAGTATCATTATAGATCAGAATTTGTCATTTAAAACTCACGTTCAAAGGCTTGTTTCTTTTTTGGGAATTCTTTTTTCTTTCTTCTATAAGTGAGGAAAAACTTGATTTCTGTAACTTTTTTCCCTTTATTAGATTCTGCTTTTACAAATGCACCTGCTTATTACTTGAAGAGGTTGGAGACTGTCTACAATTGTGTTTGACATTTTATTAATGGTTGTGGAACTTGACTACATCACTTTTCTCTGTATGCTGCTGATAAATGTCCACTTCTGTATATCTGCAGACTTTTACATTGGTTGTTTTTTTATCTATAAATCTCTCCTTGGGCTGGTCCCCTCTTATCTGTGCGTGTGTATATGGGTAAAAACCAAAACCAATACAGCCTTTGTTCTCGAAAATCATACAATTAATTGTCCTGACAATAAGAGCAGAATTAGGGAAAAAGGCCTTTTTCCTAATTCTAGGATGCCCTTGTTTCCTGGAATAATCTGCAGAAGGAGCTGAAATTGTGAGAAATGGTTACCCTGCAGGAGTTTAAGTCAGTTTTAAAGGAACAAGAGAATAACTCTTTTAGTCAGTGTGACTGGTTTCAATTGTCACTCTTAATGATCTGCTATTGTTAAAGCTTCACCTGTTTGTATAGAATATTGTATTTGTTTTAAATTGTTGTTATGTGTTGTATATGTTTTTACTTTTGCCACCATGATGCCAGGCCTCTCTTACAAATGAGATTTTAATCTCAGTGAGATAAATAAAGGCTTAAATGTTAAATACATGGCATGCATGACTGAGTCTAACCGTTACTTTTATAATTGATTTAAAATGATCTTTGTGAAATTATTTGATTTATTCAGCAGTTTAATAAGTAGACTGGTGGATGAATTCATTAATCCAGCTTAATGATAGCTGAAACAGTGAACTTCAGCCCTGAGAGGCAAACGAGGATCATCACAGGTGATGGTTACAAACAAAAATGCTGCTGTGCATCAACCACAATAAAAATAATATCATATCTCATCCTTCACTTTCCTTTAATCAGTGAACACTCTGTAACTGTGACTGATCATGTGTTTGATTAGTGCATTGATCTTACCTGCTGTGCAGATGTTGATGAAGAGGAGCGTGAAGCATAAAAACATTGAAGCCATGTTCCTGAGTTCTCCTGGCAAACTCTGACACAGTCTGACTGAAAGCTGCTGTAAAAATCAGAGTGCAGGGTCACGTGACCACAGCATCAGCTGTTACCAGGAAGAAATTGCTCAAATATTTTATTAGTGTTACGAAATCAGTTTTACCCCGGTTCTTGTATTCGTCAAAACTTCCAGAGACGGCACCGGACTCAGTAGTTATTTCACAAAACCTTTATTCATCTTTATTCGTCTTCATTTAAGCATGCATCTTCTAGAAGGGAAGACAAGGCCGATGTCCCTCTGCAAAATCTTCACCCCTTTGTTAGTTACAGCCAGCTTTATCGAAGCGACCCCATCATAAAACCCCCATGGTGTGCTGCAAACTCTGTGTGTCTGTGTGTATGTACGAGCACGTGAGTGCCTGTGTGTGCGCGTATCCGTACGCCTATGTGAGTGCACGTGAGTGACTGAGTGTATGCGCGTACCTGTGTGTATGTGTGAGCGAACGTGACTCCCTGCCGGTCATAAAAGTCCATCTCCCTTCCAGACCACAGTTATCCAGTTACAAATGTTGAGACCCCCACCCAGGTATCCTCTGGGGAATTTCCACTCAGCATTAACTCCTCTTTGTCACTTTCACAGTTCAACTGGGGGAGGGTCTCCTAGAATCTACTCCTAAGTTCATGACACAGTCAGGCCTTTATTTATATCCAGGGCACTGTCAGTGTCTCACAATTCTATATCCTATCTAACACATTCCTAAACTCTAAAATAAGCTAAATATTCCTACATTAGGTTTTTATTAAATTGTGCAAAAAACCAAAAACAATATTTTGTTATATTGTTTTGACAGTTCAGGATGTGCCCTGCCTTTAAATAGGCTCTAGCTACTCTGCGATGCTAATTGGATAAGCTGAAGAGAATGGATAGATGTTGTTAGGTATAAATCAGAAACTCCTCAATGTGTGAAACTATTTCAAATTATCGTGATTACTGAGAGTTTTAATCAGATAGTTGGTTTAATTGCTGTGATTTGGTATAGTTTACAGTGATCAGCTATGTTGGACTGGTACAGAGCAGCTGTGGTGTTCATGGTCAGTGTGATGCTACATGAAGGGCAGCATACAATTATATTTGATGTAATGATGCTGAGTAAATTCTCTCACTGAATTTGACCTTTTACTTTTTTTATAGAGTCTAGTGGTTGAAAATTAGTCAGATAACTTGTGAAGCATCAGCTTATGCCTTGTTGTATTCAGTTTAATCTGCCGATCAGCTAATAAAGAAGAAAAATCTACTAGAGCTCAAAATGCAGGTTTTTATTTGACTCATCTCTAAGTGACTGTTTTCTCATCTCCACCATTGCACATGATCCAACCTTGGGTTGTTAGACCCCAATAACACTGGACTAGTTCACCAATGACAATAAAGGAGCTCTCTACATATCACACCTTTAAGGAACATCTTATAAAACTGGTCTGAAAGAAAGAAAGAAGGCGAATGGATCACCTTCCACCAGACTCCCCAACCAGTAACTTACACGTGAAATGAACTCAAACATCCACCGGCACCAGCAGAGCTCAAATGTATCTTCAGTCAGCCCAAATGTTTCATTTTGTATTTAAATGAATCACTCAGAATCTGTCTTTGGCTTTTTTAACAAGAAATCAATCAATAATTATTGATCACAGTTAAATAAAGTGTAGTTTGAAGGCAGAAAACTTATTCTGAGCTCTCAGTGAGAATTCAAAAACAGGGCTTTTTAGTATTTCCTCTTATAGTGCAATCATATTTTATCATCAATAATTACAACAATACATAAAAACATGATAACAAAATGAAAGGAACTGAGATGAAAATAAGTGAACTCAAATCTTTGTCAATAAATCTTTAATGAAACAAAAAGCCTTCTGGTTCACATCACTGTTCTCTGATGTTTAATATGTAATAAAGCATATAAAATATCGGGATGTAAAAAAAAAAATTCAATAAAGAGCAGCAGTTAATCTGAAGATGCTCTCTGCTGGCAGAGGTAAAACTTCAGGATCTGTGTAATCAGATTACAAACTGCTCAGATTTATTCAAAAGTCAGCCCCGGCCATTCATTGTCACTCGGTTCCTCTGATGAGTAAGAAGATTCCTGCTGCCACACCGAGGACACCGACAGTCAGACCCACTCCACAAAACATGGCAGGTCCAAGAATGAGATCAGTGTTCTCCACAGCTGCAGACAGAAACACAGAGAGTGACGTGAACCTTCACATCTGGAAACACTCATGGAGTCCCACAGGGTTCAGTGCTGGGAACTATACTTTTTATTTCAAGCAATATTATTAGAAAACACTGCATCATTTTCATTACTATACAGATGACACTCAGTTTTACTTAAATATTAATGCTGTAAAAACTCCCTGAAAAGCCTTCAGCTAATCCAAAATGCTGCAGCAAGAGTCCTGACAGGGACTAGAAAGAGAGAGCAGATTTCTCCTGTTTTGGCTTCCTGTTAAATCCAGAATTCAAAATCCTGCTCCTCACATACAAGGTCTTAAATAATCAGGCCCCATCTTATCTTAATGACCTTGTAGTACCATATCACCCTATTAGAGCACTTCGCTCTCGCTCTGCAGGCCTACTTGTTGTTCCTAGAGTATTTAAAAGTAGAATATCAAATAGTAGTACTAGTAGATTAAGATCAGTCTTAAAACTTTCCTTTTTGTTAAAACTTCTCTCTGATATTGTTGATTTACCTTAGAATATAAAGCAACTTGAGATTACTGTTGTTGTCAAACTGTACAATGTGAATTGAATTTTGAGTTGAATTTTCTCACCGTAGAATTTGGTCATTGGTTGTATCAGGGCCACATGTTCCACGGTGCAACTGTAGACGTCTCCCTGCTTTGGGATGAAGTCCAGCCTGGACGTCTGTTTGAAGGAACCATCTTTGTTGGGGAAGGGAACGCTGGTGTTCGCTCCTTCTGTGACCTTCTGCTCGTTTTTGGTCCAGGTGATGTTGACGGGAGCAGGATAGAAACCAGTCACGTGACAGATCAGAGTGTTTTGGACTCTGAGCTCCACATTTAGTACTGTGTAGATGATCAGGCTGGAAGGAGGATCTGTGCACAAACATGTTCAGGTTACTCACAACACCACCGCACTGAATATGCAACAGCATTGCAACAAAGAGTCAGTAAGAATGGGACCTGCACCGACTCTGTGGCTGTTGTTGTTGTTGTTTTTTTCTCTAAAATGAATTTAAGTCACAGGGTGAAACACTTTGAGCAGTGTGTGGTTGCTGTTATGAGCTTACTAAAAACACGAAGAGAAAGCACAGAAACACTGGGAGGACCTGAGCATCTGCTGAAGTGAGATGTGTTTTCACTTGAACAAACAGAGAACTGAATGTTTGAAGATCCCCAGAGTCATGTGATAAAGAGGAAGTTTGGTCTCTGCGTTTCCTGTTTCACTTCTGTGTGTCTGAGGTTTTTAGTCTCTATTGTTGTGTCGTTGATTCAGCAGCTCGTTACATGGAGCTCAAGTTCTGTTTGTGTTTCACCTCTAAGAGTTCAGATGTTCTGGTCTTCTTGGATGTTGTTGTCACTGAGGATAAAACCTGTTGTTTCCTGATTTATTAAACACTGACTGCAGCACCGTGTGTGTGAATGATCTTGATGAGATCAGGTGCTGGATAGTGTTTCCTGATATTAAAATACTTCTGATTAATGTTTGCAGGTTTGTGCTGGTACATTATGGACACCAAATAAAGAGAAGTACTGATATGAATACAAACTTGGAATTCAGTGACAATAAAGGTCACAGTGTTTGTTAGTTCGCCAAAGATGTGATGAAAATGTTTCTGCTCAGATCATCTTTGTGTGATTTTATCCAAAAGCTGTAAATCTGGTGAATATTGAAGCTTCTCTGCTTTCAAAGAAAACCATCACTGTATGTTGTCCACTGTCGGTATGATGACAACAAAATGCATGTGAACATGATGAAGCCAATCATGACTGCTAGCTTAAAATGGTTTCATCCTGAAATTCAAACAATCGACAAATCAAAAGTCTGATGTTGACTGCAGTTTACCTAAAGTGTCTTTAATGATCTAACCTGTCAGCCTCTTAACTCTTCATTTATCTGGCATAAAACGGATGCTTCATGTTTCAGCATGTTTCATTGAATTCCACTCTCTGAATGTTTCTGTTCTTTACATGTGGACTGGTGATTCGTGTTTACCCAGTTCTTTGGGGACGTCCTTCATAGCCTGACGAATCGTCTTCAGGTTTTGTCTGCAGACCTGTTGATCAGCCACAGCTTGTTCATATTGACCTGGAAAGGTAATGGGGTCTACAAAGGGGGGCAGAGGATAGATTCCTTTCTGTTTGTTAAAGTCGGCGTACCAGACCGCCTCATCATCAAGTATCCTCACGGCCTCGCCATCGGTATCTGAACATCCGCTGATCCAGTTGTCGCCATGCAGAGCTTCATGGTGTTAGGAGGAGAGAAACAGAGGGTGGAGTCAGTGTCCGTCAGGTTCATATGAGCCAGTCACCTACCAGAGCTTAAACCCTTTCATGCAGGACAGTTCATCAAACTTCAAACAGAAGCACAATTGTTTCATTTAAACCAGCAGACCTTGGTATTTTGGTGACACCCTTCAGTGCTGAAAATTATTGCCTTTGATTTATGAGTCTACAACAAACATATATGTTTAAATGTTGCTGAAAAGTGACGCTGTTTGGCTTTTTACAATGTGTCATGAGAACATGTTACATATTTGACCAAAATTTGTAACTTCCTGTCGCACAGCTTTTATTTATTTATTTCAGATTTTTAAGTCTCGCTCTTTACTCAGACCGCCCACCGCTGGACACATCGCACACAGACTATCTGGCAACTTGGGTAACATCAGACAAACACAGCAAGCCCCTTTACAACCCACCCCAGCTGCACGCTTTCATGCTGTTAGTAACTAAAGCAGCGCCACACGTGTGGTTACTGGTGTCCGATCTGTTCTGTGCTGCCAAAGATAAACTACTGTGAGACTACTTAACCAGTCTCACATCAGTAAATCAGTTCACCATGCATAAAAGGGCTAAAATACAAGAGTTCATGAGTGAATCAGAGACTCACAATCAGCAGAGACACAGAGGACTGAGGACAGGACGAGGAGCAGCACCCACACCTTCATCTTCATCAGCAGCAGCAGCTTTGTGACTCTCACACGTTCTGAATCTCTGTGAGCTCGAACACATACAGCAGCCAATCACAGAGCAGGGACCACATGATGTCATCAGTGACCAGGCACACACAAGCAGCAGACACACATACACACACTCATACAAACCCACACAGGACTGCTGGTACACTGGGGACACCTGGTGGATGGATGGAGAACTGCAGAAGTGATCTGGCGACATCTCTCTAAATAAACCTGCTTAAGTTTGAAGAGTCCAAAAAAATGAACTCTTATCTGCTTTTCCGAACCACTTTTCCTTGATCTTGGTGGAAAACGATACAAGGTGAAGGACAGGTGTGAAGGAGGATAAATAAGGACTTAGGACAAGAGATAAGCAGTGCACTGAGGGTCCAACTGCACCTACACTCAGACTCCATGACAGCGTCACACTGGTAACACAATAGAAACTACAATCTGCAGAAGGCGGACTACAAAATGTTCATGTCACTTCAAAACTCTGTTTTGAAAACAACAGAGTTTTAACGCTGTTGTTTTATGCAGGTCGTGTAAAACAGATCATGTGTGAAAAGTTTTCTTTCATTACTCGTGTTGGAATTTGAAAGAAACAGGAACATGTAGGCGGAGGGTCGCCTGTGACTGTGGACGGGTGTTTGTGAGGGTGGAGTTAGAGCACATGTTTCTGAAGCAGTTTCAGTTTCACACTGAAAGCCATCAGAATCACACAGTTACGGAGTTTTAGTTCACCTTAGTGTTTTATAACTATAGACATTTTGTGTTCTTGATCTTTATGTTGTTGTTTTAATTCCTGTAAAATGTTTATTGAAACCACACGTTTATCTAACATCAGCTGTTTATGTAAATGTTTTTTATGTAAAGTGTATTTTATTTACATGGTTAGGTTTTTTAGAACTATATTTATTTTTTAACTGGTAGATTTGTTGAGCACTACATTGTTTGACCTGAGTGAAAGCTGATCTCAGGTGTTCTCCAGCAGCTAGTGAAGGAGGTCCAGCTCGTTTCTCAGATTCAGCTCTTTTGGCTCAACTCTCTTAGATGGTGTCACTCTTGATTCATGCATTTTTAAAAGTTATTTCTTTAATTCAAACACTCCCATATGGAAAAGATATATATAAATCTTATAAAGTTTTTATCTGTCTTGTATGAAACTTGTATGAAAAGCATACAAGAGTGAAAACAATATAAGATCCCTTGAAAAATTCTATAATGAAACTTGTATGTTTTGGATACTTACTAAAAAAATATATGAAAGTAATGAGAAAGTGGCCACTTGCATGAGTAAATCATATATGTTTTTACTATTTCTTTTCCATATGGGCTATGGGCTGCACCGAAACTTCCAAAAAGAAGTTGGAAGGAAGGAGGAAGAAACAGGAAAAGGTTGAGGGTGAGCAATGTTCCCTCTAAGCTTCGCACCTGTGCAGTTGCGCACTGCTGGCACGGTCTCTGCGCACAGAAATCTGTGTTGCGCACAAAAAAATAACAGCTTCATTAGTGCGTCTGCTCTGCAAACACAGAGCTGCTCTTCATGTGATGATGTGTCCTTAAGAAATGATAGGCCACAGTGACCTTTGACCTTTAAACTCTAATCAGTTCATGCTTGGGTTTAGGTTATTGTGCTGAATTGAAAGAGGTGTGTCATAGTGCTGAGCAGCTGTACTGTTCATGGTCAGTGTGATGTCACATGAAGGACAGCATTTAAATTTTACAGTGATGATGGAGAGTCTCATTTTCACTCAGCATTCACAGATGACACCTTCACACCTACATAACAAGCCTGGTAACACAAGCTTTGATCTTACCGACCTCAGTTAAACCCACACAGAGCAGCAGCAGCTCAGCTGATCACAGCCTGAAACTAAAGTATCTCACAAAAGAGATTATTGATATTTACAAATTATTATTTATCCCTCCTCTGCATCACTGCATGTGAACTTTGACCCCTGCTGATGACACATTTTATGTTTTTCTGATAGTTTCAATTAAAATCTGCTTGTTTTTTTTTTTTTTACCTTTTTGTCACCGTCCAGCAGAGGCAGACTGTAGGAATTTGATGTGGAGGACCCAAAATGCAGACACAGAGAACGTGGAAGAAAACTTGAATATTAACAAAAAGCGAGCCGTTTAATAAGGCTGGTAAAAAAGGTACAAAGAAAGGACAGCAAACTGAAGTAAACTAACATTAACCTAAACTGGAAGCACTAAATAAACAACAAGAAAAACCTAGACATGAAACTTGGAAACATGACATGGAAAACGTGGCATGAACAACAGACGACCTGACCAGGAATGAACAGAAACACACAGACTAGCTGAAACAAAACCACAAAAAACAAAGAATCTGAAGCACTCAGTCCAAACACAAGTGCATAAGAGTCCAAGACCCTGTTTCAGGAAGGCGACCATGATCTCGGCAGAAAAGGAGTTCATGGCAAAGCAGTTCAGGTGGCCGACCTGGAGGCCGATGGCACAAGAGTCCAAAGTCAGGCGGATCAGGGGGTCGACCTTGCTGACACAGTTCAGGAGGCGGGCCGCAGTGATGGAGCAGATCAGGAGGCCGCCCACGACGGTGATGATATCCAGCGGCCTTGGTGGGTTTCCATAGACATGGCTTGGCGGGCACCGGACCAGACGAGGCTGGACCAGGCGTGGCGACGACCTCGGGCTGGGTCGAGGCTGGACCAGGCGAGGGCGCTGCAGGCGACAGCGTGGCAGCCGCAGGATGCTGGACGGGCTCAGCTGAACCTCCAGCTGGCGTGGCAGGGACATTTTTCAATGGGTTATTGATCCCAAGAGTTCAGCTATTTGAAGCTTCATCCTTGTGAATTAAAATGTTTTTTAGTTTAAATGTTTATTCTCATAAATCCGTTTTATTCAATCATACTTCTAAAGTAATTAGTAGCTATTTACCTGCAGTAGCTTTCTTCTGTACCTCCTCTCTTTGGTCCTCCTGGTGCATCTTAGGAGCTCAACCTCCTTCATTAAGTCTGGCACTGCGTCAGTGGGCAGAAGTAGACAAGGAAACACAAACTGAGGAAAGGAAACCAGCAGTGAGAATAAAGCTTCTTAAAAAGATTTTTTTAAGTAGATTTCTCTTTCTGAAACAGGGAAACATGAAGCACCATAAAAATCTCGCGCTGTCAAAGACAAACCTGCAAATATGAAGCCTCAGGGAGTGTGGCCTCCATGATGATTCACCTCACAAAGGCAGAGGTGTCAAACATATGGCACGTGGGCCAGAACTGACCGGCCAAACAGGCCAATGTGGCCCACTCGGTCGGTTTAGATAACATGACCGGGAACGGGGGCATGGATCTGAACTTTTCAATTTATTTTCAACAGGTTTCCATTTTCTGACCAATAAAGCCGTCGCTTGTGGTCTGTAACACACAGAGTTAAAGACAAACAATATAATCACATACTGCTCCTGTGATTTACTACACCAGCTTGAAGAAAAAATGAGACCCAGCATTAAAGATGTACTTCATTTACTCAGTAAATAAAACTGTGCATTCAAAATGAATCCGTGAAAGAACAGCGGTGTTATTGTTCTGCTCCTATCCCCATGCTAGCCTGAAGCAGGGCAGATTCATTCAGCAATCAAGAGAAGAAGGAAATAAAACTTAAAAGAATAAAAAAACAATCGCAATCAAAAAGACAAATGGTCATAACGAAAAAAAAATTGACTGCAAACTAGGAGAAGCCTCAAACATCAGAGAACGTCAGCTTCAGCTTTGAGATGAGAAACTTTAAAAGCACTTAACGTTAAAAGTTTAAAAGCACAGAACCTCTGATGGATCTGCAGCACGATAACACCTGACGACCTGCTCTTGCAGAGTACTGTTTCTGGTGTCTGAACTCAGTGATAACATGATGAAAACCACATGTATGTGGGAGGAAACATGTGAGCCACCTCTCAGGATCTCTTCTGCTCTGAGTGGCCAACAAACGTCACATCTCTACTGATCCTAAAACTTTCCCACTATTCACCTAAAAGATTTATTTGGATTTATCTGTCATCCTGGAGGATATGATCGGATATAGGGAGTTTATATTTCCTTCAGACCAAAACTGAGGGTATAAAATCCCACACGCTAAGGGGACGAGTTCACGCGTTCAATTCAAACGTCTCTTGCTGAAACTTTATTAGACTCATTAACTATCTGTGTTAACACGTGCAGCTGCCGGACACCGCCCGGTGAACCGTTAATTTTCACCGTTACGCCGTTTGTTTTCCGCTGTGCTCGCCTTTCTAGTCAGGCACTGCTCAGGACACCTCTCTCCTCGCTCCATTCTCCCGCCCTCCCTGAATAGCGCCCAATCAGCGTCGCAGATCCCGTGAAGGCTGGGGCTCAACTTCGCACGCGATTGGTCACTTTTGCGGTCGAGCACGCGGTCCCTGCCGTCGCGTATAAGAGCGCGAGCTCGAGCATCTGAGCACGATGAAGGCAGCTAGCAGTTAGTAGCTAGTCGTAACAGAAGTCTACTGTTATAGTTGAAGTCACGGGCCGTTACAGAGCACACGCACACTGACAGGCACATGCACGGGGAGCTGGGTGCGGGCTTGTGTTCATGCACACAGCGGGTTTCCGGTGGTGTTTCGGGACTTGTTTATCTTTGAGGGGCGTGTGTGTTTGCTCCGTGCTAGGCGGCTAGCTGCAGAAGCTAACTGTGTTTGTTTCTTGTAGTGCAATTGAATTATTCATGAGGGCTCGCAGGGATTGGCAGAGTGAGCGGCGGGGGCGGGGCTAGGACGGGGTTTCCTCGGGATTTTGGGGGCGCACGCACGCACACGCGCTCACAAAAACATAAACAGGATATTTCAAAGACTCAGAAGGTGAAGTCTGGACGGCGGACGGTGATCTCTGCACGACACTGTGAGTACAATCGATCAGTCAGTGATTGATTATTGATCGACGACGTTTGCCTGATTTGTTTGAGTGAAGAACTTTGAAGTAATCAGAGTAAATCAATGCTGCTTTAACGATATTTGTAAGAATT